ACAGAACTGGGGTACAGGCCAGAGGCTCAGGGGCAGCGAGAGGCTTCACCAGAGACAGAGTGGGGAGCAGAACAGGCAGATCGACGAAGTACACTGCTGAGGGGAGCAGCGGGCGGGCCAGGAGAGGCCTGGCTCGCCATGTGGTCTCCTCCGGGGCAGGCGGCAGGCGGGAATCGAACTCATGCGGAAGTGGCTTCAGATTCTCAGTGCTGTGCTCTAACCCGCTGCGCCACCAGGGAGGGCCCAGGATAGGAGTTTTAAAAGTTAAAAACAAAATAGTCACATAAAAATGAAAAAGATAATCCTATATTTTCGTCCCCAGTCCTCAATATTGTAAACCAGGTGGAATGAGAGATACACCTCATACTGACTCCCTACTTATGCCATTCATAGGGCTACTCTGCACCCTGACATCAGAGGAGGTGAGCAGATTTCAGAGTAAGAAGATTACATGGAAGCTGGAAGGCACAGAAAAGGGAAGATAGAAATCTCATTTTTCAGCAGCAAGGAGAAAGTAAGTTTCTGTGGCTAGTGATTCTTTCTTTTCTTTTTTTTTTAATAAAGATTTATTTATTTATGCATATAGAACTGGAGTACAGGACAGAGGTCCAAGGGCGGCGAGAGGATTCACCAGAGACAGAGTGGGGAGCAGAAACAAGCAGATCGATGAAGTACACTGCTGAGGAGAGCAGCGGGCAGGTCAAGAGCAGTCTGCCCCGCCTTGTGGGTCAACTCAGGGCAGGGGATTGAACTTGTACTGAAGCCGCTAGCTTGCAATGCTGTGTTTTAACACTCTGTGCCACTAGGGAGGGCCCATAGTTGTTATATCTAAGGAAATTCAAGAAAATACCAGACAGGGGTTTTTTGCATTAAATCTAAAGGTGACATTTAAAATCCTGACTCAATTTATATGACATATGAATGTCATTTGTCCTATTACAGTAAAACAACTCATTGCCACTTGTTCCATATGCAATTCTAAAAATGATCCCAAACCTGTTACTATATTTTCCACCCCCGTAAGTAAGAGAAACTTCATTTAAGAAATACACATGAGGAACATAGAAGCATTGCTTTGACAAATGGTAATTTTTTTCCTGATCAAAAACCATTATGTATCTCCAACAAACATGCCTCGAGTAATTAATTTAGTAACCATAGAGGAAAAATATCTATACTCAGAAGTCACTATGTCTAGAGATACATATGAATATTACTAGGTTGTTGAACTCCACCCATGTGTTACAGATGACCACTGGGGAATAATTTTATACCATATCTTAATATAATACATAGTAGAATGTTTATTGTTTAATATAATATATATATGAGTTTTTAATATAATTTAGAATATTTAGAAGCCAATATGCATGAAATATTTCTCTGACTTGATTTGGTTCAAAGGCTAGCAGGCACCTGACTACTTCATATTACCCTACCTGATGCAACATATTTTCATGTCAAAATGGCATCTTTTAATAGTGTGTCCTCAAGAATGAAAAGTGAAAATTCCCTCTCAATGCTAGTGAGTTATGTGGCTGATTCTTTAGTGACACAAAAAGTGGATATGAACTGTGGACATGAGCTTCGTATTAGAGTCAGATTTTTAAAAACATCATCTACCAGTACCTTTAATGTATTTCATCTGTGGTTAAAAAATTGTTGTATGTGTTTGTATGTGTGTATGTGACTCCTTCTCTCATCTCAGAATCAACATATCCAGTTTCCATCCAGCTGCTCTTCCTAAGTAATTTTCTTTTGCCAGGAAAAACAACAACAACAACAACCAAAACTATCATGTAGTTCATCTCCCAGACTTGAACATATCTTTCAATTTTTTTATCCCTCATCTCTAACCTGTTTATTCTTCTTGTTAGCTAGCTCTAATAACTAAATTTCTTATTAGCACGCTGCTATCTGAGACTTGAGCTGGATTATTTCTAAATTCTTCTGTATCTGTGACTAACTACTCCACCTGCGCTCCACACCACGTACATCTCTTTCTTTAATTTTTTTTTAAAGATTTCTTTATTTGTGCATACAGAACTGGGGTATAGGCCAGGGGAGCAGGGCCAGTGAGAGGCCTCACCAGAGACATAGTGGGGAGCAGAACAGGCAGATCAACGGAGTACACTGCTGAGGGGAGCAGAGGGCAGATCAGGAGAGGTCTACCATGACATGTGGGTCACCTCGGGGCCAGGGATCAAACTTGCACTGAAGTGGCTGCAGCCAGCTTGCAGTGTTGCGACAACAGACATCTTTTAAGCCATTGTTTTTAAGTGTTGTTGTAGTTGTACACCTACTACAACCCCTGTGCAGAAAGAATTAGCACAGAGTAGCTGTGATACTCTTTAAAAGACCTGCTTGTGGGCCCTCCCTGGTGGCACAACTGGTTAGGATGTAGCACTGCAAGGGAGCGGCAGCCACCTCAGTGCAAGTTCATTTCCCACCCCGGAGGTGACCCACATGGCACAGCAGACCTCTCTTGTCTCACCTGCTGTCAGTGTAATTCGTCAATCTGCTGTTCTGATCCCCACTCTGTCTCTTGTGAATCCTCTTACTGCCCCTGCACCTCTGGCCTGTACCCCAGTTCTTATGCATAAATTAATTAAAAAAAAAAAAGACTTGCTTGCAAGCTTGGCCCCAGGTCACATTTGGAAACTAGAGTTTTGGGAGAGCTACTTCTGCCCTCAGCTCCATGCTGTGCCTCCATTGCTGCACAAGAATGTGTTTTCTGAATAACATGTTTCCTTCTATATTGAGGACAGTGAAAAAAATGGAAGTTTCGAATGTATTAGGCAGAGGTCATTGAGTCTCTATTAAACTTCCCAGGTAGACAATATCTTACACGTGTTGTCAAAGTTTGCTGGTGAGGAATTAAGCACATCCAGTGTGACTATGCTAGGAGAAAACCCCTAAAAGCCTGTGGCTGGCTTCCCTAAGACTTCACCCCTATGGGCTTTTTCCCTTTGCTGACTTTGCTTTGCATAATTTTGCTGCAATAAATCTTAACCACGAATAAAACTAAAATTTGAGAGTCCCCCAGCAAATCAGCCTTGATTTGCTGGTGGCACCCTTGACACAAATCCTATGACCTGTTCCATCATTTCAAATCTGTCCTGTCCAGCTCATAAAGCTCTTTACATCCTGCTTTTACCATTACTTCTTAAAGTCTTCCTCCTAGGTTTAGGTGCATGCCCACTATAGGCACACCTCGTTTTACTGCACTTCACTTTATCATGTTTTGCAGATACTGCATGCTTTTTTACAAATCAAAGGTTTGTGGCATCCCTGTGTCAACCAAGTCTATCAGCCTGAAAACATCCTTCAATTTTTTCATTCCTTTTTTTCCAACACCGTTTGTTTCCTGTGAATAATCTTTGCAATAGACTACTTTTTAATTGAGATATGCCCATTTTTAAGACATTGAGCTGTTACACATTCAGTAAGCTACATTATAGTAGAAACATAACTTTCATATGCACTGGGAAAACAAAAATCCATGACTTTCTTTATGGAGCTATTCACTTTATTGTGGTGGTTCTGGAACCAAGCCTGCACTATCTCCAAGGTGTGCCTGTACTTCAGGCCATGACAATGCAGCAGGACTGGCAGTTTGTCGGGAATGTTCTCAGCCTGCAGTGGTTCTGCTATTTGCTATTTCATTCTGAGTAATTGACCACCTTTCTATGTTTCAATATTTCCACATATAAATGTAAAGAGAACTACATACAAGTAATAGTGAGGTGCAAGATTTTAGTTTTTACATTTTCTGTATAATCTCTCATCAATTTGCTATTGAAGGCCCATTCTACTAAAGTTCATTGTAAAGCAAAACAGGTCTGTTAACCCATTTTGTCTGTAACTTCCATAATGGAAAGTTGCAGAAAATATTTCTGCAAAAATTTCAGGTTTCATTAAAAGACTGTGAGAAATATTTCAGAATTATACATTTAAAGACAAATATAGTATGCTTCAAAAATAGAAATAATACTCAAAAGATTGTACTACTGTCTCCTAGGTAATAGTATGGTTTCTAAAATTGACAGAAAGGAAAAGTTAAGAAAAATCAGCAACCTGCTAGTGGACAGGAACGGAGTTGGGTTTCTGCTCAGCCAGATTTTCAGGATGAGGCAGTTGACACAGGTAGGAAACAGCTCCTCTGAACCACTTTGTTAAATTCATATCAAGGTCAAAAGTTTTCAGCAAGAGAATAGGCATAGGAAAACCTCTCTTACTTCTACATCTATAAAAGCCTTGCTAATTAGTTATCTTGAATAGCAATTATTACTGAAATTCCTTTTCCTAAAGTCTGGCAAAATCCCTGAGGGACCTTCCTCAGACTCTTCAGCAGGAAATAGGTTTGCTGGGTTGGCTTCTGAGCAGTTTCAGTCCTAGAAGGTGTAGGTATCATCTTTGTTTTAATGAAGTGGGTTCCCCCCCCCTTTTTTTTAAACAATATAAATTCAAATTATACTTCAGTATTATTTTTTTGTGATAAAAAATGAATTACAAGTTGTGAATTGCAAAGTCTAAGCATAAGTACATGGTATTCTTGTCTTTGGAAAGCATTCCAGCATCTCGCCTAACCACTTCCTAAATTGAAGTTGCCATCACAACTAAAATCTGTTTCCAAATTCTTTTAGCCATGTGTCCTTGGAGCAAAGAATTTCTGATGACTGGCCTGGGCTAAGAAGGACAAAAGGAAAGGTGAGATGTTGCAGTAGTTAAACCCCATCTGTTCTCCATTCCTGAGTTTCCTACTAAAATGTGAAAAGCAAAGCTTTCAGTCCGGAGTTAAACAAGAGAAAAGCTAGCATAGAAAAGTCAGGAAAGAACAAACATTAAAGAGGTATCCTGTACAAGAGAAAATTTCCATATTTTTCTGGTTGAATTATCTGTGAACTTGCTTAGATATGTATCAAAATCAGAGTTAAAAATCACTAAAAGTGGTCCTTTCTTTTAAGCTTAAATTACTGCTAGGAATATAAAAAATTTACCTCCAAATCCTAAGAGGGACTTTGAACACAGATAGAGACAGATGACAGACGGCATGCTGCAGTGCAGCAATTCCAAAGTTACTGTAGCTCTGACATTCCGGCTTCCACTCCTCCAGGAATATTCTCAGGGAAATATACAAAGATCCAAGGTAGAAGAAGCAATTGCTTCCCTATCACATCCAGATAGACTCTTGAATTCAACCCTAGAAGATCAAGCTAGGAGCAGGAAGCAATCACTGCAAGATATTTGATGGTGTCCTTCAGCTTCTGCTCCGAATATTTTTCCTACTTGCCAGTGTCGCTTTGCTTCTCTGCATGACTGTGCAGCACTCTCCAAAGTGCTGTGGAAGTGGTTTTTAGCAGCAGCACACAGACAGCCTGATGTGGTGCAGGTTTCCTATGACTATCCGCTTCCAGGCGTCAGCATCAAACTCTCTGCTTGTTATGGAATTCTCTGTTAATTATGGATACCTTCTACATTCTTAGTTTTCTCAATTTTCATATTAACAAACACTTCAAACATCTACAGATAGGGTTATTGAGATCAAAGTGGTATAATTATACTTGTGTCTTTTTCCTTCATTTTGCTATAGGCTCCACTGAAACGTGTCTCTTCTTTCTTTCACTATGTTTTCTTTAAAGGAATGTGAGTTCATGTAACTTGTTTTAACCCCTAAAACACAATAATCATTCCAGGATTACAGCAACCACACCAATAAGCTGAGAGTCTCTACTGAGAAAGTAAAGTAAATCCCAACAAAGCCATCACATTGAACAGACTCTAGATGGAGCAGGGCCAAGTGAGAAGAGAAAATTAACATTTTTCGACAGGCTGTTAGGCTGTATGTCAGTGTATGCATACAGTAATTCAATCCTAAAATCAACCAAGGGAAGTTAGGGGTCATTCAGCACCTCCAGGGACTTCAGAAGAGTTAAAGGAGGCTCCAGAAATAAGGCAACAAATTCCAAAGGGGACCAATGAAAGGCCCTCAAGTCCAGGAGCACCTAACTGGACATTCTAGAACAAGGACAATAAAGAAAAAGGATTCGAAGATCAGGGCTGGGGCACAGAGATTTTAAGACAGTGAGTAAGACTACAGAGAACTAACCAATCACAAAGAGATTGGTGGAACTCTAGAATAATTAGGGAATTAAGGGATATATTCCCTAAGGCATGACTCCAGGTCAGCTCCTGTGCCCCTCCCTGGCTTGGTTCCACCAGCCTGGGGGTCCCACTTTATTTCTGGTCCTTTTCTCCTGCTCGCCTGGCCTGCCTAAGCATCTGCAAAAGGTCCTGCTGCGGCTTCATGACTTCATGAGACACCAACCTATGGCGGTCTAGCAGCCTGGACTCAGCGCTGCAACCTCAGCCTGGGATCCTTCCTGGCTGGAAGATTAGGCCTGCAAACCTGACATTTCAGTATCACTATGAACACTACACCCCCATTTTTGCAGATGCTGAAAGAAACACAGGATGATCAAATAATATGTTGGGCAACTACAAACCAGGAAGAAAGTCACAGACAGCCCCAGGCAAAAGTGATCATCAGAGATTGATGTGGATAGGCATTTCCTGGCAGAACAAGAGGTGTTCCGTGTCCTTATCAGTTAGGGAAATGTGAATCAAAAGACTTTTTTTTTTTTTTTGCCCATTCAGTGCGTGAAGATAAAAAATATAACAATTCCAAGTGTTGATGTAATATGGATTCTTATTGCAATGAGTGAACATTGGGGTACTGATTTCAGAAAGCAAGTACTACTATCTTCCAAAGTTGAACATTCATACATCCTGTGTCCAAGCAATACTAACTCTACTCAAGAAAAATTCTTGCACATGTGCATGAAGAGCTAAGATCAACAACATTCTTCCCACAACAGCAGAATCCTAAAAGCACCCAAATGCCCATTAACAGGAGGGTTTCTAAGTTACAGTATATATCCGAATATTAGACAATGGAACAAAATCAATGTAGCATAACATATCACAATGTAAATGAATCTCCTTAATAAAAAGCTATTTCCAAAGGATTGGAACTAACATTGTCCTTTTTACAAAGTTGAGAACAATCAAAATTAAAGATTTCTTTTTCTCACTATTATGGATGCAAAAAAATTGCATATGAAGGAAAGTAAGAGAATAATAAACACCGGTGAGGTCAACTAAGTAGAGATAGGGTGAAATGTTCAAATGCTTAGATGCAGGTGACTCTCAAAATCCTAACATTTGTTTAGGGTAAGTGTTCTTATAGTTATTTATTGCATTATTTAAAATGTCTAATAGCTAAGTAAGCAAAGAGGGAATACTTTGAGTGTATCATTAACCAAGGTTGATTTGTAGTCCTTTTTTTGTACATTGGAGATCCTGAAAACACCCAAAGCCGACAAAAACATCAAGTTGGCTCAAGTCACATAGTGATGGGTTAAAGGTTCACATCTAGGGGTGCCACACTGTGCCAGTGATGCCTCATGGCAGGGCACTCTGCTCTCACATGTTATAGACACAAAAACAGGGCAACCTGCTCCCCCACATGCCATCACGTGTGGGCGTGACCTTCTCTACAGGTCATCACCAGGAATGATCAACAATTTTTTTTCAGATAGTAGAGAAAAGCAGGAAAAATATTATCAGAATAACATTTCTGGGCAATATACAGAGGGACCCACCACATGCTGCTGTGTCACTGGAGGAGAATATCTTGCCCTCAAGGTGTAAGGATTAGAAATAATGATAAAGGTAATGACCAGAACGAATGTTTTCAATTGCTTATGAGCCAAAGTACTACCTGCATATTTTAAAAAAAGATTTACATTGCATACAAGAGCTGGGGTGTAGGCCAGAGGTGTGGGATGGTAAGATGATTCACTAGAGACTGAATGGGGGGCAGAAGAGGTGGAGCTATTGAAATAGACTGCTGACAGGAGCAGCGAGCAAGAAAGGAGAGGTCTGCTGTGCCTGTGGGCCAGCTTCCTGGATGGGGACTGAACTCATGTTGCAGTAACTACTGATAGTTTTATAATACTGAGACTTAACCCCTTGTGCCACTAGGGTGGCCCACTATCTGCATAGTTTTACCTCACTGTAACCCATGAGGCATGAATTACTACTTCCAACAAAAAAGTGAAGTGATTAAAAGAAATTTTCCCAAAGTCATACAGTTATAATAGAAGAGCCTTGAACCCAGTTCTCTTCTGCTTCATTGGCCAAACACTTAATGGCTAAATAAACACACACATGTACACAGATGTATAGGTATGTATGCATTAATAAAATACAAATGTACAGGCATATACTTATTTAGGTAGATACACACATGTGTGTACATGTACACATAAGTACAGATGCACATGTATACATACATACTTTACTGTAGATATGTCCTATTTAGATATATACTCACACTATCTGTACACAGATATACAGACATGCATACATACATGTGTGTAGACACACACCATCTATAGATACAGGCCCTATATCTCATGGCCACACATGTAGAGAAACACTCATGCAGATTATACCGAGAGGCCCACCAGGTACACATGCATAGACATATATGTATACACACATATCTACAGATTGCATTATGCACATATACTCAGTCATACACAGACCAAGAAACACACACACATACATAGAAGAAATTCTAGCAGTTCATTAACGATTATTAATTTCTTACTGCTCCTTCTCCCCTTGGCACGTAGCAAGCACATGGATTTAAAGAGACTAGAGACTCTCAGTAATAATAAAAAGAATAAATAAGTTACAATTTTCAATGATGAGACTAAATGGGAAGGGTGTAAGAGTGGAAGGGGGACTAGATGTGCAAACCAAAAATAAAAATGCAAAAACTCTTCAAATCCAGAATCTCTAAAATATGTGAACCAGATAAATTGGCCACTAGGGAGAAAGTGAAGGGGACCTCCTTACCCCACTCACACACACCGTGTGAATTCTGCAGCCTTGCATCAGATGTCACTCAAGTCTTAAGAACATAAAATTTTGTTTTTAAAACTACAATGTCTCTTCACCTATACATTTCATAGAAGAGGTGGAAAAGGAAAAAAAGAAAAAGAAAGATTTGGTACATTGAGTTTTTACATCAAACTAGAGAATTTGCTTGAATTCCCTTAGTGGCTTCAGATCCAAAGGAGTCAGGATTAGTTCTCAGTTGAGCCCCAAGGCAAGAGGGCTCCATAGTCACAAGATTTTGCCCATACTCCAGGGAGGAAATGCAGAGAGAGGCTGAGATGTGAGTATGGGCTGGAAAGAGCGCTAAACATAGAGGAGGAGGACTTGCTGAGCTGGTGCAACTTCAAAACCCTCATCCCATAAAGAGTAGAAATCAGGGGCCCTCCCTGGTGGCACAGCGGGTTAAAGCACAGCACTAAGAATCAAAAGCCACTTCTGCATGAGTTCAATCCCCGCCTGCCCCGGAGGAGATCCACATGGCATGGCAGACCTCTCCTGACCCGCCCGGTGCTGCTCCCCTCAGCAGTGTACTTCATCGATCTGTCTGTTCTGCTCCCCTCTCTGTCTCTGGTGAATCTTCTCACCCTCCACATCTCTGGCCTGTACCCCAGTTCTGTATGAATAAATAAATAAATCTTAAAAAAAAAAAAAAGAGTAGAAATCAGGTAAAGGCAAATGGGGATGGTGGGCAGAGAGAAATCTTGGCAGCTGCCTCCAGGCTGGTTAGAGATCTGTGATTTAAATATGTATTTCCACAGAGAATGGAATCACATCTGGAGCTTACGATTTAATTTCTCCCAACAGTAAACAGATGCTTACTTTTAAAATGCTAAACAGTATATGTTTAAGTAGATTCTAAAACTAATGTTTTCTAAATACAACAAATGCAACTTGGTATTTTTTACAACTACCAAAATGGTTTTAACACAGAAAGTATCAGCGCAGGAAAGGAGCAAAGGAAAGAGAAATTCCAGCTCTTATTTCAGAGAGGAGGAACCCAAGTCTTAGAGAAGTGACGTATTAATTCTATAGAAGTAGTTTGTGGCTGAGCTGGAAGTAGCATTGAAATGAAACGGTAATTATTTTATTTTCAAAATTTATTTATGCATACAAGAACTGGGGTTGTTGGCCAGAGGTACAGGGGGTGAGAGGATTCCCAAGACAGAGTGGAAAACAGAACAGGTGTATCTACTGAAATACATTGCTACTAGGAGCAGCAGATGGGACAAGAGAGA